ATTAGTTACAATTGAGAAATATTTGATAATGTTGTAATATATAAACTATCTTAATGCATCATAGTTAATAAACAAAATTTGGTATTTACTTTCATTTTTTTAAGATCTTTTAATATGAAGGTATCTTTACATTAAATCAAAGTTATATTTAAAGATGTTTTTAACACTTCTATTATTTATTATCAAGTATATGAAAAAGTGAAAAACTTTCAAAATTATTAAATACTCCATTTATTGAATGTTTTTTAATTAATTTATTACCTATAGACATCCAGAAATATTGATTGTAAACCTTTTGAAGTAACTTTAGATAAGATACTTTTATAATCTATGCAACTAATAACACACTAAGATTTTTTAAAATAAAACATTTTTATTCTATCACCTTTATCAAAATCTTATGATTCAAATATATTCTATGTATTGAATTAAGATAACGAGTGTATTTATTGTTGATAAGTTTTCCAAAATGCACTAAAAAGATAAAATTACTTTTTTTATTTGTTTTATGTATATTTTAGTAAATAGAAACAATAATGAAAATCAGTTTATCACTAAGATTACACTCTTCATTGTCCCAACACATATCCTCGTCCCCAATTATGACCAAATGTATTTCTAGTCTGTCGTTCTTGTGCTCTTGGAATAGGTGCAACTCTTAACCATCTGATACCACTTCTTTGAGGTGGAAAGTAAGATTCAAGAATTTTTGGAGTATTCAATAATTCAGGTCCACCAAATTCTTGAGGATATTTGAATTTTAAAAATATATAAAGATGTCCTACCAGAATACCAAAAAGTTCCATCATACCACCTCCAGAGATAATAAGATTAAATGCAAATAATACCCATGGTAGATACATTGCTTTAAATTGCGTACCTGTTTGTGTTTGGAAATAGAAAATAAAATAATTAAATAAAAAATACAAAATATTTAAAATTAATATTGTTACTATAGAAAAAATACATACCAAACCAAAAATTAACGATAACATCTTTATTCAATTGACACCACACATATAATATACTGAGTACCATAGGATCCATAAGATATACAAATTCACCTATAAGTCCTATAATAACACAGCATATCCAATTGAATAAGAGTAAGAAACAATAATCTGCTGGTCGTCCATCATATTCCCCACGCTCTAACTTGTATGAATAATTATATAAGAAATAACAATTGATTAAGAAATGAAATCCTGTAGCCGGGCTGAGAGGGTAATAGAAAACACACGTTGCTGCTCTCCAAATTTCAAAATTATTTATGAACCGATCATTTATCAATATTAGTGAGAGCGGACTTACTAATCCGAATCTTCCGATTAATGTACAAATAGCTGTACATAACAGCCAATATCTTGTAAAAATTGGTAAAGAATTAAACCAATCTCTCACATCTGACATTTTTATAATTTGAACACAGTTAACGTAACACCACACTGTGCGAGGAAGTACGACTCAATATAACAATGTATCACGTGTGATTATTTAGTGATTAAACGAAGACACCATGTAGATTTAGGTTAGAAAGTATGACAATAAGTATGGTGTTCTAGACTGTTAATCTCAATTAATTTTCTATTTTTTTTGTAACTATTTCTTTCATAGTATCTA